TTGCAAGGGTCCTACCTATACTAAAACATTATTCTTTGCTTATCTGAAATGCAAATTTAACTGGGCATCCTGCATTTTCATTTGATAAATCTGGCAATCCTATCCCCAGGTCGTTCTAATGCCCAGGCGCAGGCTAAGAACCGCTGCCTTATGTGATCAACAATCCTTTCAAATGCACTTACGTGTTGCTCTCAGCTTCACAACCTCTGGCCCAGGCAGTAAATACGTGTTTTTTCATTGGGGCCTTCTGGGGCATGGTGTCTGTCCTCTAACCTAGCAGTGGGGCTAATTGTGTAAAGGGGAAGAGAGAGCATGAGAGGTTAGTTTGGGCACCAGTGGGAGACTGGTGATGTCTGATAAATAACACCGAAGGTGCTGCTTGCTCCCTGAGTTGGTCCTGTGTTGAGTTCCTAGTAATCAAACGGCGTCTACTGCACAGTTGCTCCATGTAGGACGCTTGTTAGGCACTGCAGGAGATGTGGTGGAAGCTCTGGAAGAACTCGCAGCTTGGGAAGGGAGAATCTGAGTTTCCCTTACTGGAGAAATTTTCAGTCTATAACCTAATGAGGATTTGGAACAAACACCCTTGTTATGCACATAAACCCAATTATCAAGACCGTATAAACTTACACCCAACGCTCTGTCGCTGGACAGAACCAAATGAAGTGTAAGTGGGTTATAAACAGGAAGAAGGAGTGTTCTGCTGTACCACATTGGGGACCAGGGAGCGCCCCAGCTCTACCGCTTGCTGGCTGTGCCATCTGGGGTAAGGCACTTATTTTTTCTGTTTTCATTCCTTCGTCTGTAAAATGGGGATGATGATAATAGCTCATTGAGTGATTATGATGATGAAATAAAATTGTGCTTGGAGAACAGGGCCTGGAATAATATAAGCATTCTATGAATACCAGCTCTTATACTTACAGTATCTCTAAGACAATCTGGGACCACATTACACATATGTATAATGCACTCAAAAGCGATTGTGTCTAAAGGATGTAAAATTAAAACTAACAAGATGAGAAGACATTTTCATTAATATCAGTTCAGCCTAAGATTTGATAAAGCCCAGTTCTTCCAAGATTTTGAAAAGTGAAGAGGAAATGAAGAAGAATTTCCCAATTCTAGCCTCTGTGTTTGAGATTCTCTAGTCAATTCTACCTTAACAATGATGCAATTAAGTATCAAAGTCTAAGGCAGATTCTTGCCACTGTATGCCAACATGTTATTCTCATGTGCCTGCCTGTCTGGGATGGGTGTTTTTAGGGTGTAGTTATATGAGAATAGCCTCTGATTACGTTTCTGACTTTTCCAGGTAGGTTATAATTTCAGACAGTTGTTTTGATGTGACTCTTTGGCAGGCCACACATATCTGTGAGAACTTCAGAACTCTGTGAATTAGAATGACAAATAGAAATTTCAAAAAGTTTACCTATTCTGATACATAATGTAGTATGCCTTACTACTGTGGAAACGTGCAAAAGCTCAGTTGATTGCAAACGAAAATTAGTTGCCAACGTAAGCTGAAAGAGAGAAAGGGAAACACGAAAGCAAACCCTTCCTCATTCTTTTATGACTGTTTCGATGATGTGTACGTAAGAGGATGTAACAGTCCCTCTGTATGAATCCCTATTACTCTGGCTCCAGCCTGGAGTTTACATTTCATTTTCTGACAGACATAGGAGTCGAGGGCCTGTCTTTGCGTGTAAGTGTGTGCCTATGTATGTCTGTGCGCGTACGACTGCTCCTGTGTCTACGTGTACACTTGGGTAAGAAATAAGCCCAGTGAGAGTAGGGGGTTTGGCTCTTTGTCACTGCTGTGTCTTGATACCCAGACCAAGCTTGACACATGGAGACAACGTCAATGCTGGAATGAATTAATCTGTATGTTGAGTACATGCTCATGCGTCTGTTATCCCTGATAGATGTTCCCACTTCAGGGCTCATCAACCTTTCACCCACGAGAACGGGGTTCTAGGTCAGGAGAGGGAGAGGGCAGCATGCAGGCTTCAGGCAGGAGAGATGACAAAAGGAGGAAGAGAAAATAGGTTTCAGAGGGGAGGACAGGGGAGGTGGTGGGCAGGTGTCTGGGCAGGAGGTCGGGAACTAGAAGCTGCACCATTCTGGGCTACTTCTATCCTGTAGATTTTGTATATCTCCCAATGTCGGGGCTGCCTCTCAGATTACTGAGTCCAGTGATTCACAGACTGGGGTCCTGGGCCCCCAGACCTCCTTGAAGATAGGAATGGGGCTCCTCCAACTTTTTGTTTGTTTGTTTTCTAAAGAAGAGCCAAGGGAAGCAGGCTTTTCTTAGAGATAAGGCAGATTGGGTGACCTAAAATGCCAGTTTCTTTGCCTTTGGCTAGAATTTTACCAGCTCAGTGCAATCATGCTGGTTCTCCCATGTTGATCCAAACCCCCAAGGGGTAGCGACACCCCAGTCTGTGATTAATGAACATGGGGGAGATGAATTAATGATGCTTTTTGGAATGGGGGAGGGAGGTAGACTGTGTGCCAGTGAAACTCTCCCTTCATGGATGAGGCCACTGCTGTTGCAGATGGCGAGACTATTTGTCCAAAATTACACAGGACTGCAGAGGAAGAGCTGATCCCAAACTCTGGGCTTCTAACTCTTGCTCCCACCTTTTTGTCATTGTTTTTGTTTTCTCTGAAAACCTTCCAGGCCTCTCCTAGCTTAATAGTATCCTGACATGTGCACAACACTTTACAGTTTCCAAAGTTCCTTTATGCATACCCCTTCAGCAAGGCGATCATTATTCTTCCCACTTTGTAGATGGGAATACTGAGACTCTGAGAGGTTAAACAACTTACGCAAGTCTAGCCAGCTAATAATCAGGAGGAAGATCCTTCGCCACCTGAATACTACCTTTCCCTTCCTTCTCCTGATGCTTAACATTTTACCATTAGAACTTCATTCCTTTAGCTTAAGACATTGACCATCTTTAATTCCAAATGCCTCTGGGAAGGATCATAGTTAAGCTAGTGTCAGTCACTGACACTTTAATGTACATCAATTTAGAATCTTTGCTAAACCCACCTTTTTTCCTAAATATATGGAGATGTTAAAGAAAGTAGGGGCCTGAAGGACTCCCCCAGAAGACACCCGGGAATGAGGAGATGTGAAAAAAATAAGCTCCATATGATTCCCACTTTGGTCTCAGGTCACTGCCTTCATTGCCTGGTGATTTTTGAAAATTCTCCATCAGAGGCATCTTATTATGGAGGAGACCCATCTTGTCACCAGATATGTAGGCCAGCAAGGACAGGGGACAGGGTGGCTGAGTCTCTGTACTTTTCGGGAAGGGAGGCTCGACCATCTGGCTCAATGGGTTTCTGGCTTCTCCACAGAGACAGCATTTCAATATTTAAACTTTAATGTGAGTGACTCAGGAATAGTTTTGCAGACAGTGTCAAATGCCTTTTCTTGCCACACTGGAGCAAGGAAGCCATGAAGGGTCAGCACCAAGGTTCCAGCCAGGCAAGAAAGGGCATTCATTCTTTTGACCTTCAAGGCCTAAACCCCTGTTTTGGGCCATGCATGTGCTGTGCTAGGTGCCAGGGGCTGGGGATGCCAGGGGAGGTGAGGTGTGCTCCCTGCCCTTGATGAACTCATACTCTAATGAACCCTGCCTGTAAGTACTGGGTGTTGCATAGGAGAAGCCCAGGAGTTGGCTGAGACAGGAAGGGCCTGCCAGCCTCAGAGGTCCAGGAAAAGGGAGGGCAGAGTCCAGAAGAGCAGAGATAATGTCCCAGGAGCAGGTGACACCCGAGTGAGCTCCAATGTAGGGCGGAGGCTATATATCCTCTGCCCATGTCTACACCCGCTGATGAGTGTGTGGGTGGGTGTGGGGGCATGGGGAGTGGTTGATGGAGGCCTGGTTAGCACTTTCAAGGCTGTGCCAGGAGCCAGTGGGAGAGGCAGTCCCTTCTGCTTGTGTGTTACGCTCCCTAACCCTCTACTTTCGGGCTTTCCTTAGAGCCACTCTTCTCTTCCACTAGATGAAGACAAGATGAAGGCTCCTGAGGAGAGAAGGGGCCTTGGACCAGTGCCTCATCTCATTGCGAGATGATCTCTTTCTAAAGGGAAAGGTGCCCAGGAAAAACTTGGCTAGGAAAGCTCTGGGGATTAGGACGCAAGTGACAATGCAGGGGACAGAAGATCTCTTGATGGTGTTTACCAAGCCTGAATACAAAGACCACAGGTCAAAGAGCAGGGAAGAGCCTGACCCGGCTGTGCTGGCAAGCTTCAAGGAAAAGCTGAGTGTCAGAGTGGCGGTGGACTTAGGCAGAAAGGGCTAGCGAGGGGAGAACGGGTAAGGCGGAAGAGCCAGGCTAAGGAGCCCAGTAGAGCCAAAATGGTCCAGGACGATGGGGAAGGGCATCCCATCCCATTGCAGCATGATGTGGAGGTCTGGGGGCAACTCTCCTATCTCTGTCTCGGTAATTAACCAGCCTCTGTGGCCTGAAGGCATAATTACAGGCAAAACAACTCCTTTGATGTGAGAATGTAGAATGAGTGGGGGAAAAGAGGGGCAAATAAAAGAGAGAGTGATCTTGCTTTAGTATGCAAACAATGTTGATGGAAAAACATCACCAAACAGGCAAATAGGCCAAACAAAGAAACAAAAGATTGGAAAACAAGCCCCAGGATGAACAGGTACCCCAGATAATTTGGGCCCTTGAGAGCATCGTCACTGGCCTTGCTGGGCATTGCAAAAGGTCACTGCTTTTTTTTTCAAAGAGTTCACATGTTCTTATCAGGCTGGCTGAGTGCTCATCCCCTACCTGTTCTCTGCAGAAATTCTCAGCAAGTTTCCAGAGAGACCTGTTTATTTATGGAGTCAAAGCCCCGGAGAAAGTGAGGTGCAAAGGGTTTGAATGGCTCCTCCTGGGAAGCAAAGCTAATCGGGAATGGAGCTGAGCTTGTAACCCAGCATCCTGGATGCCTGTCCCATGATATAACCCCTGAAACACAACTCTTTCTGTTGAGGCCAACTTTATTAGAGAAATCTGTTAATTGGGGGATGGTGGGGGGAGAAGGAGAGAGCAATACGATGCTAACATGATTTAACACTTGATGGGCTCTGAAAAAAAAGAAGGAAGGGGATTTGAGCTTTAGCTTGGCACATTCATCATTCCACATACATGCTACCAAAGTGAATATGTGCAACTATACTATATGTAAGACTCTGGGACACAATAGCACAGACTTTGTGAAACAAAAAGGCATTTCTCCTGCCTCCACTGTGTCTCTTGTGGTGCCATTGTCTGATGCTAAGAACTCACATAATAACAAAAAACAATGCCCCTATGATGGGGGAAAACTTGATTTGGCACCGGCCGTGGTGTTTTCCATGGGAATGATGGTAGGGGCTGTGGCTGACTGTGGGAATAGTGCAAATCAGCACTTTTTTGTAGATTTTCTTCAAGCCATTGTTTATTTTGGCTTTGCTCAGATCCGTGGCCCAGCTTGAAGATTCCCACTGGGCTTTCTGAAGCTCACAGACCTATGAGAGATGAAACAGGGATAAATAAATAATTACAAAACACCCTACCCCCGCCCCTGCTCTCATATGTGGGGTGTGCCTGTCTAAGTGGGTGTGTATATACATGCACGTAGGTCACAGTACTGCATGTGTGCACATCTGGCCCATGCCACCAGGGAATTAAAGAGAAACCAAGGTGTTCTCTGGGCTTAGCTGGTTCATTGTCTCACTATCCTCTTTCATTTGGGGCAACGGAGACCAGGGCTGCTTCACTTAAGCGCCAGTTTTTGCAGAACAACATTGGATAAAGCTCATTTGAAACTGTACCTTCCTAACGTCCTTAGACGTTTATAGACTTTCAAACATGAATAACTCAGGTTGAGGTTCCAATAGGGACAAAAAGTCAGTAGTTGTTCTGATAATGGAAGGTGAACTTTTATCTCACAGCTCTTAGGAGCTTCCACTCTACCCTAGCCAAAGGATGGAGAAATCAACGATGCAACCTTGGTCATGAGACGGAAAATGAGCACAGAGTGTGTATAGTATGATTATATTATGGTCTAAAATGTGAATACCTTGGCTTTAAAATGCCAATTACTGATTGTTCCTGTCATATCAGCAGCAGGTTATTACATTCTAAAAGTACATGAGACTTTCTCGAAGGCCCTGTAAGGGCATGTCTACTCTAAGTTTCACATAGTGAGTGTTTACAGAGAAATATACTTTCTTTTTTTTCAAAAAGTTTCCATTTCCAGTAAGAATCTTCCTGACAAATGTGTATGAAGCTGCCTCTGAGCTGGGTGGCTGGGTTGCACACCTCCAGGGGGCAGCATTCACTGTATCTTCTATGTAAATCGTCCCCCTAGAGGAGAACTCCAGGTGGCCTTGTAAGGTGACAAGACTTAGATGCGCTTGTTGCAGAGATGTTCTCCAACAAAGTGCAGAAGAGTCTTGTTTCCTGAAGCTTCTTCTTCCCTTAGAGGCATGTAGGGCACCCAGGCTCTTGTCTAGGTCTAGATTGGAAGGAAAAGATCTTATTATGGGCCAGGCAGTGTGCTAAGTGCAGATATGGTTTAATCAGCACAAGAATCTTATCAGAGGTTTCATGGATGGGGAAACAGGCCAAGAGAGGTTAGGGGACTCGCCCACGTTCACAGTCTGTATGCATCAGAGCTTGGACTTGAATCCTTCTCCATGGCACCCCCCAAAGGCCCTCAACTCTCCCCCTGACTCTCACTGCATCTCCCAGGCCTAGAAAGCACCCATGGTTCCTGCAGACCCTGACTGGGTGACACCAGCAGCGGTGAAAACAATGTCAACCAGGGTAGGGGTCTTCAGAGCCAAAAGGTGGAATCCAGCTTTGGTGAGGGGTTCCTGGGCTGCCACCCTGCCACTCTGTCGAATAAAAGGGAGCCAGGTGTGGAGACACCCCAGTGAGAGCTTTGCACAGCTGGACCAAGGCTGGGAAGAGGAGTGTGGAGAGAGATGCTTACATCTCCTCCCCCTTCCTGGAAAACACCTTTGCATTTGAAGGTAGAAAGAGTGAGTAAACCTGTAAGAGGGAGGTGGCGGCCTGGGGATTTCATGTGGCCCTATGAAGGGTGGGGGCCTCACTCTGGTGCCTCTGTGTGTGTGTGTGTGCGTGTGTATAGGGGTGTGTGTATTGCGGGGAGGGAACTTGAGGTTACACGTGATTTTTGTTTTTTGGATTAGGCTTTTACTTTTTAAAAAAGTCATAGCAGCTACCATTTATTGGGGACCTACTGTGTGCCAGGCATTGTACTGACTGCTCTATGAGGAATTATTTTTAAGTAAAGAAAAAAATAGCTTAGTAGTTTGTTTTTATGCAGGTGCACTCGGAGGCATCGAGTACTTTTTCCATTATGCTTAAAATACAGCTCTCTCCACTGTGGTAAGATCTGGGGGGAGGCGGGGAAGGGTGCGGAGACTGGCAGGGGGCGGTCCCTACCTCGCTTGTCTCCACCTTTTATTTTGACCGCTCGGATGGCGACAGGCTCGCACTAGGACCCAGGCGTCAGAGCGCCTCCGTCTGTCCTGTAGGTTCATTCAATCTCCCATACACACAGACCCACTGCGAGACCGACACACACTCACACACACTCAAACACACAACCGCACGCAGCGAGGCTCGGGAAGTCAGGTCGCCTCCTCGCCTCGGCGCCTCCTCCGCTCCAGCCAGCCGGTCTCCCCCGGGGCCCTGAGCTCGGCCGGGCCGCGCAGCCCCATCAAAGGACGAGCTCCGCGGACCCCGGTCCCTCCATGGGCAAACGCGGGCGGCCGCGCAAGGAGGCGCGCTGCGAGGGCGCGGGGCAGGTCCCCGCCGCGCCCCCGGCCGTGGCCGCGCCCCAGCCCCCGGCCCAGGCCGAGGAGCCCGCGGGGGCCAAGCTCAGGTGCCCCTTCTCGGACATTTTCAACACCAGCGAGAACTCGATGGAGAAGCACATCAACACTTTTCTGCAGAACGTGCAGATTCTGCTCGAGGCCGCCAGCTACCTGGAGCAGATCGAGAAAGAAAACAAAAGTAAGTTTGGGGGCCCCTGCTCCTCCTCGGCGCCCGGCTCTTTCTTCCTCGCCCACTTGAGCGATCCCTGTCGCCTGCTCGGCCCGCGTCCCCCTCCCCCCAACGCACACATTCAGCCCTCGGCAGTAAAGCCGATGACACTGGAGAAAGGACACGCACGCACAAAGCTGCTAAAGATGTAACAAAGACGAGAGGGGGGGGAGAAGGGAGCCTGTCGGTGCGTCCGTCTGTCTGTCTCCCGGAGGCTGGGAGGACCGCCCGGCCAAGGAGCGGGGGAGTGTTGTTGTTTGCTGACAACTGAGCCGAGAGCTCATCTCTTCGAGGTCGCCTTTCTTCCTTTTTTCTTCTTCTTTTTTTTTTTTCCGGAGCCTTCTCGGGCAGACAAGTGTTGTTTTTCTGTCGCTCGTTCCTGGGTGGGGTGGGGATTAGAAGCCGAAAGTTGGACACCGTAGGCAGAGCTCAGCGGTTCCAGAAAGAAAACACACAGACACACACGACAACAATAACAACAACAACAACCAAACAGCTCTCCACGGCGTGGGCTCGGGCTGGCTCAGCTGTGTTTCCCTCTCCTGTCCACTTTGCTTTTTTCTCCCCTCTCGCAACAAGACTGGGCTCAGGCCATCGCGTCCACGAATTCAGTCCCCTCTGCGCCTCTGTTGCCTTGGGGTGCCACCGCTCCCCCCCCCCCAACCCCAAGAAACAGGCTGGCAGGGCCAAGCAGCACCAGCAACTCGCCCCGGACCAGCCGTCTTGCGCCCGGGAAACTTGGCGAGGGGGACGCGGCTAGAAGGAAACTTTGGGATCTCGCAGGAAACAATAGTTGGGGAAGAAGGTGTGGGCTGTTGTGTGAGGTTTCTTTATTTTCCGGGAGAAGGCTCCCGAGCGAGCGCGCAAGGAAAGGAAGGCAGACGCCTTCCTGGTCGATTTCTATCGGCGCCCCCCCCCCCCCCCCGCCGCCCCCTCAGGTGGAAAGTGATGCGTTGTGTGTCTGTGAGTGTTGCGGGGGGCGGTGGGTAGCGGCGCTGGGAGCCCCACCCCAGCCTGGCCTCCTTTTTGTGTTTGTTTCATTTTTGCCCCTGCCAGCTAGGTCCCCCAGTCCTCCCCAGGCAGTCGACTCAGCGCCCTAACCGGGGCACGCGTGGTGCGGTGTCTACAGCACGGTGCTCACAAATAATAGCAATAATAGCTGCGAGAAGGGGGAAGGGGCTGAGGCAGATAGACTAATAGACTGACAAAACCAGGCTGTTTAATCTGTCCGAACAAGTAGGAAGATCAATGAGACGAGAGAGAAAAAAGAAAATGGTCCGATTGCAACGTGTCAGATCTTGCAACCTCCTCTCCCCCAAAACACAACAACAACCCTCAGACACAAAAACACCTTAGCTGACCGACACCCCGGGCCTCCACGTTTAAAGTAACCGAGTGTTGGCAGCACAATCGTGCAGAAGCTGTAAGGGGAAAACAAGGATTTGTGTTGGGAGGTCGGTAGTGCGTTCTTTTCTTTCTCTTCTGTTTTCTCGGAGTGCCTGGATTGCGAGAAAGGCGCATCGCCGGCCGTGTAGCTGAATCAGTTTGCGATTATTCATGGGGGCGGGGGAGGGGGGAAGTGTGCATTCGTCTGGAGGGTAGTTTCGGAGAAGCCAGAGATGATGCGGAGCTGGGTGAAGACGTGGTTTTGTTTGGTGTGTTTGCTTTTGTTGGAGGGGGGAGGGGCGCAATTTCTGTAGCTACCCTCTGCCCGGGTCCCCGGTTCTCCGGAGTCTGTCCCGTGGTGCCGGGTCTGGAGAGGGGTGCCCCCAAAGAGGGCACCTTGGCAGTCTGTGGCAAACCTGCTTTGCCCCCCGATCCCAGCGAGGTATCCTAAGGAGGAGGCTGGAGCTTCCACCGCGTTCCGCGCCCCCCTTCGCACCCGCAGACAATCGGAGACCTCCCCCCGCCCCCGGCCGCCGCCACCTCCTTGTTTACCCCGTGCCGGGGCTCCGGCGTGGCCACCAGTCACGTAAGCAGAGGGCCGGGCGCGCCGGGCCGGGCTGCCCCGCACGGGGCGGGCCAGCGGCGCCGAGCTGGGCTCCCGACGTTGAGGAAGCCAAGGGGCTTCCTCTCAGTCCCTCTCCCGAGGCGTCCGCGCTGCCCGCCCGCCAGCCCCCAAGAGGGGCTCGGGAACCTCAGCGCCCCAGTCAAAGTCAACTTCGTGTGCGTAATCAGCCCCTCGGCCCCGCTGCCCCCCCTCCTCCGGCCGGCTCCCCGCGGGAGTATTTTTAGCTCTCTTGCCTCTTTTCGCCGCCGCTGTTTGGCTCTGCATGACGTGATGCCAACGGCCCCCAGATTTCCCCGAGAGCGTGGGGCGCTGCGCCGTGCCCGGCTTGGCTGCGGGGACCTCGCTCTAGGGCCTCGCCCCCTCCCCAACTGCTCATCCAGGCGAGGTCACCTCCAGCACCCACGGGCGACCATCCACGGGGCCCTCTATTATCTCCCCTACAAACAGGGGCGGCCCACGGGGGCTACTGCATCTCCCCCGCTCTCGGCTCCCCTCCCCCCCGCCCGGTCTGAGGCTCCTGCTACGGAAAACGGCGGGCCCTACAGCTGCCTCATTTTATTGGGGGCGCTTCTTCGCGCTGGCGGCGCTCGCCGTTGTTTTCTGCTCGCTGCACACAATGCCCGCGCGTCACGGCGGTCCGCGTGTGCACAGCAATAACGCGAATCGGGGGGCGGGTCGTGCGTGCGCCGGGCTCGGGCACTGCGGGTCGCTCCGCGCGCGCGGGGCTTGTTTTGCTTCAGAGCCCCGCTTTCCGAAACGCTTACATCATTCAGTTGTTGGGGGGAGGGATGGGCATCGGGGCGTTCCGATAGGATTCCATCATTTCCCAGGTCCCTGGTTTCGGGGAGAAAGCAAAGACTCTAGCTTTTTAATTATGATGATGATGGGGGGGCTCGAGTTTTGTTTCTTGGGCAAGTTTTTTGGGTTTTTTTGGGTTTTTTTAGGTCACTACTGCAAAGGGCATTGGTTGCCGGCTCAGGTGCACAACCTCCCAGCCTTCATTTCAGCCAGTTCCCCCGTAATCACTTGATCTCAGTTTCTCCGCCTCCTCCTCCTCCCCCTCCCAGCTAGAGACACATGGTTTCCACATGGAGACAAACTTCTTTCCTCTGACTGGACTTGACCTAGCTGCGTTGTCCAGCCAATCGGCAGCTTCCGCTTCCTCTGACGTCACGCGTTGCTGAGGCCGTAGACCCGGGGGTGGGGTTAGGAGGCAAGCCAGAAAATCTCTGGGAGCTGTAGTGCGACCAGCCGGTACAATCGTTTCTTAAAGGGATGCTCTTCTCCCCAGAGACGGGTGTCAAGCCTTCATTCTCCATTTCGGGTTCTGCGAGACCTTCCCGAAATGCACCGATAGACCCTGGTCACGAGTTCACGCTTCCGTTTTTACTGTTGTTTGCAAAGTACTTTCTTGGCAGGAGCTTGCCTTATTTTCCATTGTCGCCAGAACTGCTTTTCTTTGCCTCATTGAGGTTTCCTTACTAGGAGTGCTCACCAAGTTGTGGCCACAGTGCTGAATTATTCTCAGTAGATATGGTGGCTTTTCTTGGGGCTAGGGGGTTCAAATTAAGTTACGCAGGATTGACCGTCTGCTCTGTGCAAAGCAAGGATTCCCTAGGATAGGCAGGTATATTCTACTGAAGTTCCAACTGATGTGCTTCCCTAAGTCTCTCAAACTAACGGACTCCAGAAATGTGAATCCTGGAGACTGTGACCCTGTTGTCACAAATTCAGAAATTATATATAAATAACCTCTGGCATCATCACCTGTATCCATTTGGGGTCCCGTGGAGGGGTGGCAATTTAGGACTGATAATTAGAAAATATTTACTTTCTGTTTTGAAAGGTGAAAACAGAAAGGGAAAAAGAAAGAGATTCACAAAGGGGTGTTCTGTGCGTAAAAGCCGTTTGGCAGGCAGGTGGGAGCCATGGTAACAGGTAAGGTTTAGAGGACAGAAATGGCCTTCCCAGTGTCTGGGGAAAGAGGCATTGAGGGCAATACTTGAGATAGAGAAGAATGATTAAATGGGAGTAGAAGTCATGGGTTGCTCTCTGGAGTAGGTTATTTGTGTTGGAGGGTGAGGTGGTTTCCTAGGGGCATAGACAGGCCAAGTAGCAGCCTCTTCCTCCTGATGGAGGAAGCTGCTGCCCTGTGGTGTCATTTGGCCCCACCCTGCCTTCCTCACTTAATCTCCTCTGCTCCCATCCAGCAGGTCCACCAGCAAGCAGGCTTTACGGTCATGCCTCTGTGCTTGCCACAGACTCTTCCTTCTCTCTGGAATGCTCTCATTCTCTTACTCTCCTGGGGTTATCTGCATCTTACCCACCCTTCAAGACCTAGGTCAATTCCTACCTCCTCCCGGAAGCCTGCCCTGGCTTTTTCTTAAGTC